CTCTCCAGCTTCGGGGCGCGCTCCGGCGGCTGCGCCTCGCCGAGAGGCGTCCCGGGTGTGCTCGAGCGTCCCGAACGGCCGCCGGAGGCCCCAGTTATCGCCCGACAACCAGGGAGCAGAAGGTCATGGGCAACGCCGTTGGAGGGGGTTGATGGGCTCAGGGGAGGATGCATCGACCCCCCCTCGCCCGTTGATCGCGGAGAGTGGCCCAACAGACCACCCCGCCCAGCAGTGTGCGGAGCCGCTATCGGGGGCGCATCGCCGATCTATCAGCGACGTATCGCCGGTTCCAGCTCGAGGTTTCCCCCCCTGAGCCGGTACCCCCCCTACGTTCGCCCCACTTGTCGGGGAGCGGACAGCAGCGAGGATCGAGGACCGTAAGCTTTCGGACGTCCGCGCAGAGCTCCGAACGTTTGTGTGTATACGCGCTGTTTTTCTTACGTTGAGGGGCAGGGGTAGATGGTAGAGCACCTCCTGCTGCTTCTCCTGCTCGTCTTCACCGCGAACGAAGATCGAATATTAAAAGAAGCACGCCACAGCGTAAACTTTTGGTGCTCCGCGCGGATCTCTTGGATCCGTTCCTGAAACGTCGTTGACCGTCGGCTCGCAAGAGCCGACAAGAGGGCACGATTGGCTCCCAGGAGCTGCCACCGGAGGTTCCTGGAGGGGAGGGGCCCCGGAGAGCTTCTCGGTGCCCGCCGGCCTGTCGGGGCCCCCTCTTCCAGGCGCGCCGGGACCGCCAGAAGCTTTGCTCACTGAGCAACGCTTCTCAGAGGAGGGCAGGGTGAGACAAGGGTGACGTTTTTGCCTTTTTTGCCTCCGAGGAGCCTCCTCGTCGCCACGGCTGGACGCAGCGTGAAAAACCGCTGCGTTTGGACCCCGGGAGGGGTCCGGGGACCGATTTTGAGCCGATTTGGCCACCGTTGTCTCACGGCCGTTGTCTCACATCGCCCTCCGCCGAGCTTCTGGCGGGACCCTCTGCCTGGTTGGCCAGGAAGCTTCTCCTGGAGGAGCTGGCGCCAGCAGTGCGGGGTCTCTCTCGAACTCTCTGGGCAGCGAGAATGATCGGCGGCGAGCGACGGGGGGAAGTGAGAAGTCCCCCGGCCTTCTGAGAATTTTTCTAAACCTTCCCCGAAGACACATCAGAAGTCGAGAGGGCTTCTGAGAAGTCTCACCGCCTTCTGAGAAGGCCTTCTCCTTCACATTTCCCCCCCCTCGCTCGCCGTCAAAATGAGAGTTGAGTGCAAGTAACTCGACGTGCAAAGCAGATGAGAGGTGTGATCCAGAATAGCAAGGATGCGCTGACCGACGACGGCGTGCTGGAAGACAGCATGCTCGGCAAAGTACATTCAGAATCTCAGCATGACCGTAATTTTGGATACAGGCCAAAAGTCTCGAGAGTCACTGAGGCTGAATAATATCCTACCATGCCAGAGATGGTGAGCTCGTTTTCGTGAACGGAGGGGTGGTCAGGGTCACGTCCCAGACTAACTACGCGAGGTATCCACGTGCCCAGAGAGTTGGAGCGAGCTTCTTTGAGGTAGTGATGCGCAGTCCTGACGCTCCGCGCCGCCCCACCAGCACATCCAGAAACGGTTTCCAGGCGATCTCGTCGTGAGAGTGGAAGGCAAGGGATGTCCACGGCTCGGTCGGCTTGGCTGCGTCGCAGCCAGTTGTGTTCGGTCGGTTTGGTTCGGTCGGCTCCTGTCTCGTTGGCGCGTCGTTGTCGCCCTCCTCGGTCACGTTCGCTCGCTCGATTCGGTCCGGGTCGATTCTCGGCCTCGCCGTCGGCTCGCGGAGGCATTAGGCCTTGGTGTCGCCGTAGAAGGCACTGTAAGTGCGTGCGGTCAGGCGAGTACGAAATCGGAAGTTGGAACATATACATTACCAGTGGCGGGCTGTTTTCCAATCCCAGGATTTCTTGAGGGTCGAGGACGACGCTGGGGTGGTGTGGTGTATATCTTCTTCCCCCATCATGTCCCAGGGAAACAACAAAAAATGTATACACCAGGGTCCCGTATACACCAGGATCTGCTCTCCAGTGCAAATTCTGATGCAGGGCCGGAAGAAGCGTCGGTGTATAGAGTTCGATTCCCTACGAAAGAGGGGGAGTTGCGCACCATTCAGGTCAAAGGAGGAGTTAGCCCAAGCAGCTCCCCCCCCCCCCTCGAATAGTGATGGTTTTTTATCCACTGTTTTGCCGATCGGCGCGGACCCTCGCACCCCCCCTCCCCCCCCCTCATGGAGCAGATCTTGGCTGTTTTTGGCGCCTGTTTCGAGCAGGTGGAGTCTCTCCCACAGGACGCACGGCCCCAAACAGTCGCATGAAGCAGAGGTCCGGAGCCAGACCCCCGCCCCTCACCCTTTCGCCCAATGTCGAAGCGCTGAATCAAAAAGCGCTCACATACCGGTCAAGGAGCCCTCGGTGAGCCTCCTCGAGGCTTCTTGGCGCCACCTTGGTGCCCTCTCCTGCTGGGAGCCTTTCGTGACCTGTCTGGGGCCACCTCGGAGAGCATCGGCAAAAGAGGGAGGGGCCCCAAAGGATGCCCGCCCCATGGTGTGTGGCCGCAAGCATCGTCTCTCGGGGCCCTCCTGGGATTCTCACTGCCTGACGCAGATGCGTTGGCGCATGCAGCTGCCAATGTCAGTAGGAGGAGGACGAGAACGATGACGATGACGAGGACGAGGACGACGACGACGATTACGGCGATGCTGCAGATCATGATGATGATGACGATGATGATGATGATGATGATGATGATGATGATGGTGATGATGATGATGATGATGCTGCTGATGCTGATGCTGATGCTGATGCTGATGCTGATGTTGATGATGATGCTGATGATAATGATGATGATGATGATGATGATGATGATGATGATTCTGATGACGATGATGATGCTGGTGATGATGATGATGCTGCTGATGATGATGCTGATTCTGATGCTGATGATGATGATGACGCTGCTGATTATGATGCTGATGATGACGATGGTAATCACGATGATGACGATACTGATGCCGATGATGCTGATAATGATGATGCTGATGACGATGACGATTATGATGATGCTGTTGATGATGATGCTGCTGCTTATGATGTTGATGCTGCTGTTGATACTGATGATGTTGTTGATGACGGTGATGATGATGCTAATGCTGATGATTATGATGCTCAAGATGGTGATGGTTATGATTATGATGCTGATGAGGATGATGATGATGCTGATGCTGCTGCTGATGATGACGATGTTGATTCTGGTGCTGCTGATGATGATGATGATACCCATGATGATGACGATACTGATGCCGATGATGCTGATAATGATGATGATGCTGATGAAGATGACGATTCTGATGATGCTGTTGATCATGATGATGCTGCAGTGATGTTGATGCTGCTGCTGATGCTGATGATGTTGCGGATGACGGTGATGATGATGCTAATGCTGATGATGATGCTGAGGATGGTGATGATTATGATTATGATGCCGATGCTGATGATGAGGATGATGATGATGATGCTGATGCTGCTGCTGATGGTGACGATCATGATGCAGATATTGGTGCTGATGCTGCTGATGCTGGCGACACTGCTGATGATGATGCTGATGATGCTGATGACAATGCTGACGATGATGATAGTGATGATGATGAGGATATTGATGCTGATGCTGATGATGATGCTGATTTTGTTGATGATGCTGATGATGCTGATGATGATGATGATGCTGATTATGATGACAATGACGATGCTGATGATGCTGATCATGATGACGATGCCGATAGCGACGATGACGATGCTGATGATGCTGATGACGACGACGATGATGATGATGCTGATGCTGATGTTTGGTGATGCTGATTATGGTGATGGTTGTGATGATGATGACGGTGATGCTGATGATTATGCTGATGCTGATGATGATGCTTGGGATGCTGTTTCTGCTGCTGATGATGACGACGATGCTGATTACCATTATGATGATGACGATGATGATGACGATGATGATGATGATGATGATGATGATGATGATGATGATGATGATGATGATGATGATGATGATGATGACGATGGCGATGATGATGCTCATGCTGATGGAGATCATGATGATTCTGCTGCTGCTGCTGATGATGATGATGATGCTGATGTTGATGCTGATTATGATGATGCTGACGACTGTGACGTTGATGCTGACGGTTCTTGTGCCGAGAATGCTGCTGACGACGAAGGTGCTGCTGGTGTTGGTGCTGGTATCGGTGATGTTGTTGAGGGTGATGATGATGCCGATGATGCTGATGCTGATGATGACGACTATGCTGTTGACAATGGTGATGGTGAGGGCGACAATCACTGCGCTCTTGATAGGTTGCTGTCACACCAAAAATGCCCTGGGGGTGTATGGTGGGGCGGGGGAAAGTAAAGCTAATGCGGATAACATAGCTGCACCACCAGCCCGATGACATGCGACTGCACGGATGCTACGGCCAGATGCACCCCACACTGGAGAAACATAAGTGATCTGGTGTTCGTGGGCCCCTCGGGGGCGCACTTGTGTGTGTGTGTGTGTCTGTTGAGCCACACATGGGGATGGGAATCTGATCATGCCGACGAGGACGAGGGGAATGAGAATGGCGAGGATGATTTGAGGGGGTGATGATGCTGAAGAGTCGGGTAGACATGCGGAGGCTGCGTGGTATGATTTCAGATGACGGGGGCGATATGAGTGTGTGGTGTGGGGAGGGTTATGAAGAGGAGGAGAGGGAGGATGGGGAGATGAGGATTTGAGAGGATGATGAAGTGGAGGGGATCCGGGATATGATGATAATGATGATGTGGATGAGGAGAAGGCGTACTGTTAATGACGTCGCTCGATCCTTTCGACTACCCCTTTCCCCCGCTCCCCCCCTCCACCGTGCCCGGGCCTGGCGCTGGGGAGGCCATGGCGCTGCAGCAGCTCAACAACAGCGTCATAGGGGGCTGCCAGATCGAGGCTGGCTCAAGGGATGACCTTGAGACTACGGAGGATGCTGGCATCGACGAGAGATGGAGGACGGAGGAAGGATGCGGTATCAGGATGCTGGGTTATGATGTTGACAATGGTGATGGGGACGGTGCTGCTGCTGATGCATCTGCTGCTGATGCATCTGCTGCTGATGATGCTGATGACGATGATGCCGATGACGATGACGATTGTGATGATACTGCTGATGCTGATGAGGTTGATGATGATGCTGAGGCTGATGCTGATGCTGGTGCTGATCATGATGAGGCTGCTGATAATGTTGATGTCGCTGCTGACGATGGCGATGCCGATGACGATGGCGATGGTGACAATGCTGGGAATGACGATGATCATGTTTCTGACCAGGGTGGTGTTGCTGTCGTTGACGCTGACGGTGGTAGTTCTGATGACGACGATAGCGATTGTGACTGCGCCGGCGATATTGATGATGATGCTGGTGATGATGCTGATGCTGATGATGATGAGGGCGATGATAAGGGCCGTACATGGTGATGGTGATGGTGTTGACGGTGATGGTGAGGCTGATGATGCTGCTGGTGATGCGTATGATGATATTTATGCTGGTGACGACGATGAATCTGATCGTGTGGCTAACGTTGATGTTGACGCTGTGACCAGATAATTTAGTGCTTCTGGTGCTGACGATGATGCTGCTGACGATAATTACGCACATCATGTTGATGCTACTGCTGATGATGACTGCGATGATAATGCTGAAACGGATGAGGCTGATGCTGGCAATGCGGATAACGGTGAGGAGGAAGCTGAGGCGGGTGACGATGAGGATTGAGATGACTTCTATGGTGGTGGTGATGCCGATTGTGGTGATGACGACGATGCTGCTGCTAATGATGATTACGCTGCTGATTCTGATGATTCTGACGGCCGTGCTGATGATGGTGTTGATGATAATGATGATGATGCTGATGATGATGATGATGATGATGATGATGATGATGATGATGATGATGATGATGATATTAGGGATGATGACGAGGATGGCACCCACTGGGTGTATGATGTTGATTTTGCTGATGATGTGGAGGATGATCTGGATGAAGAAGGGGTTGAGGATGAAGACGAGGGCGATGCTGAAGCTTAGGATGGTGGTGACGCTACTGCTGTTGATGATGATGCTGATGATGATGATGAGGGCGATGGCGACGATGATGCTTATGATGCTGACGATGATAGCGATGCTGTCTCCGATGGTGACGATGATGATGAGATGATAATGATGATGCTGCTGATGTTGATGATGATGCTGATGATGCTGAGGATGCTGATCCTAGTCCTGCTGACGAGGCTAATGCTGATGCTGCTGCTGACGATGATGATGATGCTGTGGTTTACGATGATGATGCTGTTGATGCTGTTGTTGATGATGATGCTGCTGATGATGATGATGATGATGATGATGGTGATTGCGATGTTATTATGAAGGAGATGGGGATGCTGATCATGGTGATGATGACGATGATGATGATTCTGATGATGATGTTGATGATGATGCTCATGCTGATGATGCTGATGCTGATGATGAGGACGATGCTGATGATGATGATGATGATGATGATGATGATGACGATGATGATGATGATGATGATGATGATGATGATGATGCTGCTGCTGCTGATGATGATGAATAATATGATGTTGCTGGTGATTGTAATGATGCTGGTGGTGGTGATGATGGCGATGTTGCTTCAAGCTTCTGCTGATTATGCTGATGACGCCGTGGATGATGATGATGATGATGATGATGATGATGATGATGATGATGATGCTTATGACGCTGTTGTTGATGATGCTGCTGATGACGATGATGCTGCAGATGACGATGATGGTGATGGTGATGCCGATGAAGATGGGGATGGATATGATAATGATGCTCATGATGCTGATGATGATGTTGCTGCTCATGATTATGATGGCGATGATGATACTGGTGATGCTGATACTGACGGGAGATGATGCTGATAGTGATGATGATGCTGATGATGCTGATGATGCTGATGATGCTGATGATGATAATGATGATGAGTTCTGCTGATACTGACGATGCTTCTGATTCTGATGACGAGGAGGAGGAGGAAGATGTGGAGGAGGAGGAGGAGGAGGAGGATGAAGAGGAGGACAAGGCGGAGCCGGAGGAGGAGGAGGAGGAAGAGGAAGAGGAGGAGGAGGAGGAGGAGGGAGAAAAAGGGCAGGAGGAGGATTAGGAGTTTGAGGATGAGGAGGATGAGGACGAGGTTGAGCAGGATGATGACGATGACGTAGACAATGAGGAGGACGATGAGGATGAGGAGGAGCAGGATGATGCAGATCATCAGGATGAAGGGGATGGGGAGCAGAGGGGGATGGGGAGGGGGCAGAGGATGAGGAGGACATGACGATGATGATGATCGGCATGATGGTGCTGATGAAGATGAAGATAATGATGATGATGGTGATGATGATGCTGATGATAATGATGATAATGATGATAATGATGATGGCAATAATGGTGTCAGAAATGATGACGATGACGACGACGGTGATGCTGATGCTGATGGCGGTGGTGGTGATGATGCCGAGGATGTTATGATGATGAGGACTATGATGATCATGATGATGATGCTGATGATGATAATGATGATGGTGATGTGTTGATGGTGGTTATGATGGTGATGCTGATGCTGCTGATGGTGATGATGATGGTGGTGGTGATGGTGGTGATGATGATGATGATGATGCGTAGCACCCCGCAGAGGCGGATAAGAGTGAGGGGGCGATGGGGACGTCGGCAGTCTGCGAGACTCTGGAGAAGGCCGCGGCAGGCGCCAAAGTTTCACAAATCATACAACGAGCCCGCCGCAGGTGCCGATTTTGTCAAACCAATGTGGATCGGTCGCGGGTGGGTCGCTGGTGGGTCGCGGGTGGGTCGCGGGTGGATCGCGGGGTGGGTCGCGGGTGGGTCGTGGGTGGGTCGCGGGTAGTTCGCGGGTTGGGTCGCGGGTGGGTCGCCGGTGGGTCGCGGGTGGGTCGCGGGGTGGGTCGCGGGGTGCGTCGCGGGGTGTTCGCGGGGTGGGTCGCGGGTTGGGTCGCGGGTGGGTTGCGGGATGGGTTGTGGGGTGGGTCGTGGGGTGGGTCGCGGTTGGGTCGCGGGGGGGACGACGACAACAAGCAACAACAACAACAACAACAACAGCAACAGCAACAGCAACAGCAACAGCAACAGCAACAGCAACAACCACAACAGCAACAGCAACAACAACAGCAACAACACCACCAACAACAACACCAACAACAATACCAGCAACAATAACAACAACATCAACACCAACAATAGCAACAACAACATCATCAACAACACCAACACCAACACCTCTAGCAACAACAACAACAACAACCAACAGCAACAGCAGCAGCACCAGCAACAGCAACAATCATTTTAAGACTGCTCGCCCTTATCTGCTCGAGTGTCCAATAACGCGTATTTCCCAAACCCTCGATACCCGCCCTCTTCGTCTTCGACCGAAACCCTTTTGGGGGGTACATCTTTCTTCCCTGCAGGCCGGGCCCCGGCAAGCGGCGGGGCGGCCGCGGACCGTGGGCCTGGCCAGCGGCAGCGCTGATCGGCGGGGCGGCCGCGGACCGTCGACCCGACCCCAAGAGGGACGGACAGGGGACCGACGACGACGACGACGTCGACGACAACGGCGGCGACGACGACGACGGCGACGACGAGCGAAAGCGAGAGCGAGAGAGAACGACAGCAGGGCCACGAAGGACACGAAGTAGGCCACGAAGGGCGACAGCGGGGACACGAAGGGAATGCGTATGGGGCCACGAAGAGCGCGAACGAGCGGGGGCCACGAAGGGCAGATAATGCGGGGCCACAGAAGGCAACGATGGGGCCACTGAGGGTAGCAAGTGGGCCACGTAGGACAGTGATGGGGGCCACAAACGGCGACAGCGGGGCCACGAAGGGCATGCACATGGGACCACAACGGGTTCAACAACAGCAACAACAATCACAACCACAACAACCACACCAACAACACCAACAACAACAGCAGCACCAACAACATTAAGAACAACAACGCAACAAGCATAATCCTCACCACGGATTCCCACCTCAGCCACGCACCCACGGACAATGAATGACGATTCGGCTCCCTTCATTTTGATAGGTCATGTTAATCATGATGATGATGCTGCTGATGGTGATGATTCTACTGATCCTGATGATGACGAGGATGAGGGTGAGGATGCTGATGATGCTGATGTTGCTGATGATGCTGAGGATGAGGATGGTGCTGGTTATGATGGTGCTGCTGCTGATGATGCTGATGATGATGCATACGCTGATAATGGCGGTGACACTGCTGCTGCTGATAATGAGGGGCATGACGATACTGCTGAAGACGATTCTGATGCTGATGATGCTGAGGCTGAGGCTGATGATGACGATGCTGATGCTGATGGTGCTGCTGCTGATGATTGAGCTCATGATGATGCTGCTGGTGATGATGCTGATGATGATGCTGAGGATGCTGCTGCTGCTGCTGATGATGATGATGCTGATGATGATGATGATGATGATGATACTGATGATGCTGATGATGCTGAGGGTGGTGATGATGAGGATGAGGAGTAGGAGCAGGAGGATTATGAGGTTGAGGAGGAGGGGGTGGGGGATGCGGAGGGGCAGGGGCATGAGGAGGAGCAGGAGGAGGAGGGATGAGGGAGGGAGGGATGGGAGGAATATATTAGTGGAGGCGGGAGGGAGGAGGAGGAGGAGGAGGAGGAGGAGGAGGAGGAAAGGAGGAGGAGGAGGCGGCGGAGGAGGCCGAGGAGGAGGAGAGGGAGGAGGAGAAGGAGAAGGATGAGGAGGAGGAGGGGGAGGAGGAGGAGGAGGAGGAGGAGGAGGAGCAGAAGAAGGATGAGGAGTCGGAGGAGGAGGAGAAGGAAGAGGAAGAGGA